TGTGTGCAGAATTTAGCTTATTATATTAAGTATTGTTGACACTTGTTTGGCTAAAGATTCTTCTTCTTAATTTCGTAGAATGCAGCTTCTACTTTGTGTGGTGAAGGCCATTGAAGGTGTAAAAAAAGGCGAAGATTATAGGAAATCTCTAACGAAGAGATTATAATTTCAAACCACTGTTAACACCGTCAAGATCTGTTGATAATAGAAAGAGTTTTCAACAGCATGTTGTTATGATCCCATGGTTTCGGTTTATTTTGAAACTAAGCAAGACTTCATTCGTTTTAAGACCCCTTGTAAGGACTTTATTATCATTTACTGTTGTACTGAATAGAGCAGTTTCAATTACGTGCCGAAAGAGGTGCTTTTATGCCGAATGATTGGTTTAGAAAACACGCGTTAGAGCAGCTTTCCACCGAGTGTTCAAAATGAAAAACCAAACTAATCACAAATACCAATCAGAACAAAGGTTAAGATCATTTTGAATTGGCCAATGAGAACTCGTAGTAAAAAGAGGCGGGAAAACGCGTGTGGCTACGTTGACTTACTTTTAGTTTTGCATCTGTTTGGTTGAGAGAGTGCCGCGAGTTTTTTAGACCAATCACAGAGCGAAGTAAAGCAAAACCAAAACAAACCCGAGTGACTTTCGCCCTTCGATTGAATATGTCTCTATCCTTTCAACCAATTACATACAACACTAGAATCAATAACGGCCTGGTCACTCGCCTATTCCTGCGCTTTATTAAGGTCAGTTCCTTCTGATGTTGACCGTTGTCCTGAGTAGTCGTTGTAATCAAACTGGTTTTAGTTTGATGACATTCAGAAAAAGAAATGCATTTCATCATCCCTTTGCGCGTCGCATTTAACAATTTAAATTCTCTCTTTCACTATTTTCTTTTCTTTTACAGATTTCTTTGTCCTTTCCAATCTTTTCGCATGTTTTGCGTGATAACGTTTGTTTTATATCTTTTTCTTTAAAATTGTACGCGGAAAATATTAGGGGCGGTGTGGCCAGCTGAAATTAATTCACCTGCGCATACCCAACGTTTCTATTAAGATTATCCATGTGATATCATTAAAATATGACTTAATCATGTTAACCGACTAAATAAAATTTAGATGCAGATGTACTGATACTGTCGATTCCTTTTGGTCACTCCTGGGAGTGGAAGGCTAAAACGGTGTTCTTAATTACATGATCGAAGAAATTTTGCTGGTCTGAGCGGAAAAATTCCCGGTAACTTTTAAGTTAAAAGACGCCCGAAGCCATATTATAAAAAATCATTATTTCAATTATAGAGAAGCAGGTTCTGGCACTGACCTTAACCAGGCAGTCCTCTGTGTTTCTTTAGCTGATAGATTTATTATCAAATTTCGTAACTTTTAAAACCTCCATCTTGAATGAAAACAGAACAGTTTTATGGGCCCTTTTGTTTTCGGGTTCTGCGAGTGAAAAGGCCTCCCTGAGGCCATAAAATAAAAGCTGACAATCGTTAGTCACACATTATGCTAGAGTGAAAAAAATTTTGTTAATGTATGACAACTTCCTGGCATGATATTTTCTTCTTCTACTTCTTTAAAAGCAGCAAGCATATTCAACTGTTATAAGTTGTTTTGTTATTGAGAGCTTTTAAGTTAAAATTGAACTTTTCTGTCCTGTCTTAAATTGAATTAGACGCACCAAACATTAGTAGACTGAAAACCAGCTCTGAAACGTCCTCAAACGTCCTTGATCTGCACCAGACGCGAATATGAGAATTTTCACCCTTCACCCCCTAACATCAGTATCCTTATTCTCTAAACTCTTCTCTTTATATTTGCTGTAGTTTTGATAAGGAGAATTCGTCTAAAAATCAGAGTTTCTTAGGTTGGCGATCATTTCCTTTGTTCTCATTATCTTGATGAATTATTTAGCAGTGTTGCTGAAGGGAGAAATTAGATTCTGGTCACTCCTAGGGTTTGAAGAGTTAATTAAGTCCAGGTGAAAACAACTTCCTATGATGCTTGATTGCTTGATGATTGCTTGGCAAAATAACCAGCATGATCAATAACGTATAACCTACGACCTGGATAGTGTTCGTCTTTTTATCGTTGATCCTGATGGAATCCCTGAAGTAAAATAAAAAGGAAGTTGTCTGGGTCGATTCCTGCGAAAATATTACACAAAGAGTTGAGCCTTTTAAGGTGCGTAGCGTAGAACCTAAAAAAACTGTTGTGCTGTGTGTGGTGCTGCGTCGGTGATAATGCAAGAAGATTTGGTTTTATCAACCGAAAATTGAAAATGTAAACTAGCCATCGAAAATGTTTTCTAAAGCTAACGTTTGCGAAGGGCTAAACAAAACGAAACGATACGTCAGCTTTAGAAACTCTTTACCGTGGCCAATTTACATTACCAACTCAGTTGAGAAAATAAAATTACCTTTTAAAATAATTATTTTGCTTTAGTCGTGTTTTCAAACCATTAGTCACCACAGTAAAGTAAAAGTTAATTTGATTTCTTTTCTGCGTGGCATTTTATACCGACGATTTGGAATAGCATTCTAGAGGTTCTAAATGTTATGGGGTTAACCGCTAGCCGTAAAACGGCCAAAAAAACTTAACCGTTAATCAAACTTTGAAAACATTTTAAACCGTTTGTCGCAAAGAAAGTTAACCGTATAAAATATTTTTGGTAACAACAATGGAATGATATTAACTGTTAGCTGTATAAAATGACCAATTTCAGATTTTAACCGTTCGCCGTAAAAGCCATCGTCCCATCAAAACCCTCATTCTAGAACAGGCATTGAGAGAGAGTAAAAAAATACACTTGCATAGACTCACAGAGGTTATGGATAGTTTTTCTTTTGATTGAGTAAAATTTATCAGCTGAATTTGTATAATCTTGCTTCATGTTCACGCCGGCGTGAGCGACTTACTGGTCGCAAAAACCCTAAAGCAGTGACCAAACGAATTTCAAATTAAATATCTACGACGTGGAAATGAGTGCTACTCGATGAAACAAGATTGAAAATTTGCATAAGGGTCATCATTTGTCGAAAATGCCGCCTGTACTGGCACTTGTATTGGTGACGCAATTTAGTGAACAGTCTGCCATGTCTGAGTAAACATCACTTAAAACCACTTTAAAAAAAGATGTCTTCCCGGTACATAGCTTCAAACTTAGACGCCATTTTAATGGACAATTTAATTAAACCTGACATTCTTTTTCATGTAACCAAACAAACTAAGCTGCAAAAAAATTGAAATGAGTCTGTCGGTTTGTCGGTGTTTTCATATAGGATCATGAAATACTGAATGGTTGTTACAATCTTCGAACTCACTTTGATATCTGACTAAAAATAACCCTTACAACGATACCTTCGTAAACAGGAACACAAACCCTATCGTTGAACAATTTTTCATTTTTTGGCATCGTCCTTGTAAAATGGAAGTCACATAAAATTACGTGAGCAGATCTCAGCACAGTGTTCAAGACATTAGTTTTTTATGTTTTAGTTTTCTTAGTGTTCTTATGTCGTGTCTTGAGCCTGACGCAGGCTTGTCGCTCGCGCCAAAGTCGTACCATGTAAATCGGTCGTTAGCGGTCCAGTAACAGAATGTAGTTACAAAATTGGAAAAAATCGAAGGAAAAATTACACTATTGCTGTCTATTTTAAAAAAATAGAGGGCATTTTCACGTTTTTATCATCAATTAATTTAGCCCTACGGAAAAGTTAAGATGCTATTTTGGCGCCAATTTGCCGTCTGAATCGTTTATAACCTTTTGCAACATTTTAAAAAATGCCGTCAATTTGGGTACATCTTGCTGAGGGGAAGAAGAAATTTTGGGGCTTATAAAATTGAAAATAGAAGGGAATAACTGATTCGGAGGAAATGTGTTTTCATTATTAGCCAATTGCAAATAGAAAAATAAAATGAGAGTACCATTTTCCGAAAGCCAAGGGGCAAATTGCATTGGATTGATTAAAAAAAAACCTGTATACAGCTCAGTTTTCAGGGAAAAAAGATCACCTCAATTCAATGATATAAAACATAGAAAAGAAATTAGCGATAGATTATGATCACGTATGCTAGCTGAAGTCCATTAAAAATACAACTCGTGTAGAAATATAGGCAGTTTCCAATGTATTCGCTCGGCACTGATAACGAGACGTTGCGGCAAAAAGAAGAATATTAAGTACAATTTATCTGCGGCGTTATTACCTCCCAGAGTAATCAAATAGTATGGGATCAAACCCGATTTACCTCGAAACGACAAAAACTCTCATTTGTTCATAGGGAAAATGTTTTGTTTTTTGATTGAATAGGGTTTATTTAAAGTGAAAGAACAAGTTGATTGTTTGTTTGTTCAGAGCGCGTTAACTACAGACGTATCGTCAAAAACTTGTTGCTTTCATCTTTCTTATTGTACAAGCAAAATAAGTGATCTAATTTCCTGTTACCTAGGTAGCATTTTTTCCCGTAAAGAAAGGAAGCCATTGTTATTTTAAGCATCTGAAAAAGCAGGGTGATGAAAAAAGGGGGTAAGTTTCATAAGAAACTGTGGTGCTGCGTCGGTGGGAGAGTATATCATGGTAATTTAGCTATATCATCTGAGTTTACAACCTAAATTGGCCACCGTAAAAAGTTTGAAAGCTAACGTTTCGAGCGTTGGCCCTTTGCCGGAGCGAAACGTTTACGTTACCAATTTAGTTCATAATTATAAATTGCCCTGTACTGATAAAAAAAACCGCGGGCCGCACGTAATTAAAAGATATACAGAATTCTCACGTTTGACCTCTGGAGGAAGGAAGAGAGCCTATTTTTATCTGTCAAGAAATGACACAAGTCAGGTTTTTAACGGTTATATTCAACATTTCAAGCACGTTTAACATTGTTTTCTTGCCTGAGGGAGCTGGAATAGGTCACGTCTTAACAAATCACGTGACCTTCCCGGATGTTAGCTTATTTAATCAGCGAATCAAAGTCTACTTTTTTTCATATCAGAACCTTCTGTTGAAGACAAAGGCTCCTTAAATTGGCCTGGACATTTTATCGTGAATTTGATAAAGACAAAGATTTGGTTGTACTCCGTAAGAGATGAACTCCACAAACGCTACAAAAAGTGGGCTGGCAGAAATTATTTCATCATTCTCAAGAGAGCCAATCTGTGGCTCAAAGCTTACTTTCAGCCTAGAAGTTTGCCTCAGTTCAACTGTGATCATGTCAATGGTTGCCTCCGTGACTGTGGTAGGCAACTTTTTGCTTCTATTGACTATTTACCTTAATTACGGACATCTGTTTCGCACTCCTTCTACACTTTTGATTGCGAACCTCGGCTTTTCGGATTTGCTTGTTGGGTTGCTGGTTGGTTTTCCCGTCGCTGTTAGAGATGCATACCGTTATTATGGCACTGGTCAAAAAGAAATCACGGAAATCATAGGACTGTTTATAGGGCTGACGATGTTTGTTAACGGTTCATCTACAATTGCATTGTCGGTGGATCGATACATTGCCGTGTCCGACCCGATGAGATATCGATTGAGAGTGACAAGGAAACGAATTAAGATCTCTGTCATACTGCTTTGGATTTCTTCAGCTTTATTGTGTTGTTTACAATTTACAGGTATTGGCAAAAAAGTTTACGTCAATATTTATTTGCACACCCATGCCACAATTCCCATATTTGTGCTGACGGCGGTCTGTATCAAAATGATCCAAGCCCTTAAGCGTCATCGACTAGATATGCAAAATCAAAGAAATTCGTCCTTTCAAAAAAGGCGAGAAATGGAACGAGAGCGAAAAATGGCGAAAACAGTTTTCATAATCTTAGCATTATTTTATTTAACTTTACTTCCGGCGTACATTACATTGCACTTGATGCATTTGTACCGCGGCTCTAATTTTGAACTAAGATCAATATTTCGTCAAGTCGATTTTATAGCCACCAGGTTCTTATTTGTAAATTCTGCAATCGATCCATTTGTTTACGCTTGGAGAATCCCTAAGTATCGCCAAGGGTTTATGAAGATTATGTCTTTTGTGAAGCATCGAACAAAAACTGAAACTATATCTGAGCGGAATGAAGTTGTGGCTACTGATGAAGAACTGGCGGTTCAAGACACTTATTTGTAGAGCGACTTACTTTTGAACTTAACAATAATATTAATACTAGTAATAATTAAAATGATGATATTGATAAAAGTTTCTGGAACTTTTCAGTTTGAGGATTATCTTTGTTCCTAGTGAATTGCAACTGCTACGGCCTTGGTCATTTTCTTTGCTGACTGCATTCGAAATCATGCTTTTGTCTCTGGAACAAAAAGTCTTCCCTGTTTTCCTTGTTCCTGTTTTTTCACAGAGGCATTATTCCTCAAAATACATCCTTCATCAGTTGTTTGTGGCTAAATAAGGTGAAGAATGCAAAAAAAAAAACAAAACAAAATGAAAAAATAGGTTAAAGGGTCATAATTAGTGTCCTGAAACACGAATTTGAGTTGTTGACGCACCTCAACACGGAATTTTTTTTACCAAAAGTGGTCACACGGATGTTAAATTCATAAAAAATAAATCAATGATCAAAGCTTGTAAATTTTTTTTATCAAAATTATAACCTTATCCTCAATTAGAATTTTAGCCTGCGCGCAGAGGCCGGGCCTCCTGTTTCCCCTTAGTAAACAAAATGATGCAGAAATACTATGTACGCCGATGCGTACCTATTTTTTCTATAGCGCCACCATACACCATTGTCAGCGTTGTCGTCAGAATACACAGGCGCAGCGCATATGAAATTTGGCGCGTCGATCATCAAGATGGCGGCAATGTGTGAACGATGAGACAACTTTCCTCTAATTTACTGGACCGTTGTGAAAAATGAAAAGAAAGCTGCCGTCTTCGGCAAAAGGAAAGGGGTAAGATTTATCTTTGATTTACTGGATCTATGAACCTTTCATAAGTATGCTCTAGGCTAAGTATTGTAAGCTCAAGTTCTATGGCATACTTTGCATACAATTAAGACAATTAACGTAACATTAAAACTTAACATCTATTAACGTAACATTAAAACTTAACATCTTCACACACTGTATCCGACTTAAACGTAGATGTAAAACTCCTGTAGATTATAAAGGCCTCACAAGTAGCGTTTTCAGACTTCTATATTTGTATTCTTCACTCTTGTTAGCCAAAATTAGACCTGTTGATAGAACTTGTTGTCAACGTTAACTCTTGAGTGACATATTTTATCCCATAGAAATCAAGAAATTACAAAATTTTTCAAGGGTTTGACATCTAAGGGTAGGTTGATATTTAGAAACACTTAATTAGCCATAAGTAAGTGTGGCAATATTATTATACAAGTATTTGTTAGGAAACAATTTAGAGAAATGTGAAACTGAAGTTGTCTGCAGTGATAATAGTTTTCACTTTTGACCCTTTAGAAACCTTGACTTTTACCTACATTGCTATTTAATTCAGTCTTTGATCACTAAAATTTCAGGTTAGTTAGAGAAATCCAATGGTTCAAAACCTGTGGATGGTGCTAGTTTGAAAACAACTTTTTAATCTAGTTATAAACATAAAATCATAGTGTGTGGTCCCCAAACCACGTTTGCTGTTGTTCTCACCAAAAAGAAGCTTTTATCAGGATGTAGCTCGTAATTGTTTCAGATAGATAGCCCAAGGCTAGAACTATTAGAGCAAAACTTTCTCATATTACAGCCAATTGAACAGGCTGCTAAACAAGATTCATAATGGCAGTGTCTGTAGTCAATTTAACAGCACATTAACTAACACTTTTTTAAAGGTTTGGTCAATCTCAAAATGAAGTACTTGTCATAATAGGCCACTTCCAAATTACATTGTACACTGTAAATTTGGTCTCATTTTCAAAGCGAGTCCTGGTGCTCATCTTTTCATATAATTATAAGTTTTCATTCATAAGCAAATTAATTGAAAAAGAGGTAAAAGGTAATTTGGAAATAGCCTATTTTAAATGTACTCTATTTGACAAAAGGTTTTTAAGTTGCCTTGCATCAGTAATAGATTACAGATGATGCCAAAAAAGAATGTGGCACATGAGGCACAGCTGATTTTGTCCTTGATGTTCTTATCACATTTTGGTATAAGAGATAAGAGACCCACTGCAGCATGAAATTTATTTGTTGCATAACAAATTGAGACAAAAAATGCTAATGGTGATTTCATCTATGTGTCAGTCCTCCAATAGATCATAGCTAAGAACCAATCAAAATGTATCTATAATTCAGTTTATCATACAAAGTAGAATGAACAGTACATTAATTAACAGACATTTCTGAAAGGTCAGATCAATCTCAAAACACAGTGCTTGACATAATTTTATATGTACTCATTTATGAAGGAGGTACAAAGTGCACAGTTTCTGGAGCGTACTTCTCCAGTAATATCTACTCTCTCTCGCAGTTGGTATTAAAATTTTTTTTTTTTTTCGTCATCAGGCCCAAGGAAAAGTTGCAACCCTATGAGTAAGGACAAGTTACCAGACAACAAAGAGCTCAAGGAACCACATTTCAAGGGATTGCCAAATGACAAAAACGGTTTTGGTTCTAAAGACAAAAGCATGATTCCAAATGCAGACAGTAAGGAAAATGATAAGGGTAGCAGTTGCAATTCACTAGTTAAACCTGCTGTCAGTTCACCATTAGGTATTGATGGACATAACTGTTCAGTCCATGGAAGCAAACATGAAGGAAAAACACAGGCTTCAGCTTTATTTACTAACTCTACTTCAGCTGCGGGAATAACTGTGTCTGATAGTGTTGGTGATGAGACTTTTTATTCAACCTGTGATGATACTGAATCTTTGGACGATTCATGTGGTAGAAGTGTGACGGATTCCACAAACTACGACTCTACAGACGGTAGTGATATTGATAATGGAAAAGAAGAAAAACTTGATACTGATGTGAATGAAAGCTCGTTTTTTGAGAAAGATTTGCACAATCAAATCCACAAAGAGTCAACTGTTAAAGATTTGGAGAACAAAGAAAAGAGTTGTAAAGTTTTCAAGGAAAAAAAACAAGGTAATGATGAGTTGAATGAAAAAGAAATTGTGAGCAAATCACCTGATGGATCATTAAAATCAAAGAATAAGGGTGCGAAAAAATGCAGAGACAATAGCCCTGATAATTTTCCAGTGAGATTGCAAGGGCGTATTGGTAATGATGTTGACGGGAACTATACAAAAACTTCTGATGCACATGTTGAGGAGACTATAGTTGATTGTGGTTCTCCTATTGATTCTGGTTTGGTTCCTTTCAAGGGAACAGACCAAAATAGCAGCTCTGATGAACTTAAAGAGGAGGAATTTGATAAAGGCATGGACCAAATCATTAGTGGCAAGAAGCTTTTTGAAGAGGATTTAGGGACTTTACCTGAAGGCTCAGATTCCTCTGATGAGGATCTTTTAACACCGCCAAGATTTCTCTATGAAAAGACAAAGTTGAAACCAGATATTTGCACTCCAGAAAAAGGAGTTGCTCCAGTTTATTCTACTCCCTCCCCAATTTCTAGAGGAGAAGGAGAGGAGAAGACCATCAAGTACAAACTCTCCTTTGAAAAGTTGATTGCTGACAAAGTTAAGCATAGAGAAAGGAATGCTGAGCTTGCTAAGATGGAGGAAGAGCTACAACAAGGGATTGATAATGGAGGTATTGGTCAACTGCCAGTTCCAAGTACTTTCAGTGATATAGAATCAGAGGAAGACCTAACTGATGGTAAGTTTTCTTTTAGTGGATCACTGGGAAAGAGACACTGACATGTACCCTGCTAAATTCATTATGAAATAGCGAATACAATGTATTTAATTTAGCCAAATTCATTGATATGACCAATAGTCATCTCTTGTCATTCCCTTACCACAGTTTTGATCTTGGTTGAGAACATTTCTGAAAAGATTTTAACAAGACAGCAAGTAAAGTGTTGTTTGGGTAACTATTAATAGTGCCTTACTTATCTCCCATTGTCTCGACAAGTTAGATTTTGTTCACCTACCCTGGATACTTTTCCAATTAAGAGTTTTAAACTAGTTTTTTTTTTCTGGTCATCATTAGACAGGATACAACTTTTCCTTTTGTAAATTGGATACAATAGATCATTTTTGGCTGAGGGAAGTACTGTTAAGGATCATTGTTGATAGGAAATAAATTTTCTTTGACAATTTGAGAAGAGACAAGTGATTCTGGCTATTCTCATGACCAACTTGACTCTACTCAAGAGGTCAGAGGTCAGTTGCTGTCACCAACAGGCTATTTTAAGACTGCATGTACCTTCAACTGGACAATCACACTATATAATCTACATGTACTATTGTCAAAACAAACAGTTTTTTTTTCACATTTACATGTATATTGTAACCTCTCATATGATGGATTTATTGTA